ACAACAACGAGGCAAATTATAATCCACATCTCCTAAAACATACCCTTTTCTTTCAAAGATATCCTTTCAAAATGTTTTTGCTACAAAGAGAAAAAAGAAAATGAAAGAAAAGGGCTCTGTGACTGCCTAGGAATTTCCACGAGGAGGCAGGCAGTCGAATCGCAAGTATTTGAAAGGACGTCTTCGACAGCAGAGGCTTTCCTTTAATTTTTGAAGTTTGAAAGCACTCTACTCTGCCTTGCCATTAACTGCGTGGCTCTGGCAAGACGGTAGCTCCCGCAAACCTCAGCTCTCTCATCTGCAAAATGGGGAGGATAAACAGCTCCCTCCATGGGCTCCTGTAAAGTTTACGTCAAAGAGCTAGAGCTGGCTCAGAGCCGGCACAGTCGACACCCAAAACCACGCGTTCCCCTCCCCAGCTTCATTCTAGGAGTAGCGTCCTGCGAACTGCAACAGCCTCGTTCACCTGAAGTCTCTCCAGGAGCCAGAAGTATTCTTCAAACAGCTGTGCAACCTCTGAAACACACACCCTCAAAGGAGAAGTGAATGTGCCTCAGAGAAGCACCTGGGTGCAGGTGTGGGGAGGCACAGGGAAGTCATGCACCTTGAGCCGGTAGCGAGCACTTTCCAAGGTTCCAAACTGGGCTCCTTTCAACAAGAGTGGATGCCATTAGGTGGCAGCAAAAAGAAAAGGTGCCATGAGAAATGTTGTCTTTAAAACAATTTTAATAAAAAACACATGCAACACATTCATAGTTTTTGCGTTTCGTGCATAACAACTTCATTTCCTCCAGGCGCCCAAATGTGCGATGCTCTTTCCCATCTCACGTCTTCCCACGTCTAGAAAGCGCTTCCTCCTTCTCACCTGGCTACCGCTACTTACCTGTCTTTCAGGTTACCTCTGCAGACGCCATCCCTGACACCACCACGGAAGACGGGAAAGGGCACATGGGGGTTTATGATACCATCCTCCATACTTTCGAATATGTGAACATTTCCATAATAAAGTCTTTTAAAAATCACTTTTTAATATGAGAAATGAAAGAAAAACATGGTGGGTCATCTCAAGCATCCCGTTCCACCTGTCCATGAACCTGAAATGCAGCTCACCCCCTAACACAGACGCCACACTGGCCTACGATCTCATGGACGGGTCCTGGTGAGAGAGGAGAGGAGGCATCTGAAAAAATGTAAAGGCAAGGGCCTGCAGAATGACTGACTCAGCCAGTTAAAGTCCACTCCTGACTGCCCTCCCCCACCCCAAGGACTCTCCAGCTCACACCTGTTGATTCATGGCTTGCCAACCAGCGAACGTCCTTCCTTATCTCTGTAACTGGGTAGGAATAACAAGACTGTATAAAACTGCTTATTATGTTACGATCGGGGCTCAGCCTTTGGGTAGGAATCCGCTGAGCAGGTGCCGGCTTCAGTAAGTGCTACTTCGTGCTTATAGCCTAGGCGGCCCGTCTCTCTGTTCGAGAATCCTATAAGAGTGTTGATAACGCCAAGGTCGCGGGTTCTATAAAACAAACGACCTCTAAGACAAGCAGTCGAAATTCCTCCCCGCTTGCAGTCCCCCTCCTGAAGCACCCCCTCCCCATCCTGAGTACAGAGGCACACGTGAAGCCTCAGACAAAGGAATCACACGCCCCTTGCGTGGACACTGCGGAGTATATACACTCTAATAAATCTAACCAGAGTGAGCTCGTGCATGGTGTTGTTAACCCCACAAGCTCCACCGGCCAATAAATTCTCCTTCCTCTAACAAAGCTGTCTGAGCGCACAGTTTCCTCTGTCGGGTGTCGCTTCCTGCAACACTTGATAGTCCCGGTCTGTGTCATATGTCGTCATACAATTTCACACACTGAGCGCATATTGTGAATTAACTGTGGTAGGTACGCTGCCCAGACCCCTTCACTGGCCAGACGCCGAGGGCAGAAGCATGACATGAAGCGGCTGCGTCATCTCACGAGCTTCCCGCTAACGTCAACGTTGAGTCATTTATAAAGTGTTCTGTGGGGCCAATACATTTGGGAAAATCTGCCGTAGAGCTGATGTTTTAAAACAGAAAAATAAAAATCAGAGAGAATAGAGGGCAGAATTTAGGAAGGAAAAACATATTTTATTGACACTTGTCCCCAGATGAGCTTAGAGAATCAGGGCGCGTAGAAGTTATTCGAAGGTGTTTTCTGAGTCCCGTGGACTGCACAAGACAGGCGAATAAGCAGTGCCGTCCTGGCCCCCGGCCCCACCCCAGCTGGTTCCTGCTCCTCATCCTCCTGCCCAGAGGCCTGCACCTCCCCCCCACACCCGGCTTCCATGCCCACACCCCTGCAAACACCCAGGCCTCTGACCAGACACCCAGCCTCTCTCTGGCAGTTCTCAGCTGTAAGACACATGGCCCACGTACAAGATGGGGAGGACAGGAAGTGGCCGTGACCTGGCAACGAAGGCCCGCGTCTCCCTGGACCTGAGTGTTCACGGTGAAAAACCAGTAACAACAACGATAATCAGCTAACATTCTGAGTACTTACTATCAGCCCAGCACTGTTATATGCACTTTACTCGTATTTTCATTTAAGCCTCAAAACAATTCTGAGGTCAAGGAATTTCATGACAGAGGAAACTGACCAAAATAAAAAACACTTTGCAGAGAGGTTATGGGTGGAAAAATCGTGCTCAAGGAAACACAGCTAAGAGGGAGAGCTTGGAGAGGAATAAGGGCAGGTGGGCACCAGAGCTCTTTATCATGTGATCAAGTTCTCAGTAAGCTCGATTTAGAGGTGAAATACCAGGACGACCATAACCTGTCGACAGTATAGAAACATCGGGGAGACAAGTCAGCTGACAGTCCACCCAGTGCTTTGCAGGGGGATGGACAACAGCAGGACTATGGTGTCAGCACCGCGGCCCAAAGGAACTGAATTCTGCTAACTCCCCTTAGAGGATCCAGTCCTGGGGAACCGAATCATGCTTAGCCAGGATGCCAACTTACTGTTACGCTGAGAACGGTAATTTAAAAGAAAACCAAAACGTTTAATGTCTGCAGTTCAATTCACACTCTTCCCAGATGGCAAAATCTCCATGGGAGACCAAGTTGCCACCAGAACGTCGCTCGGTAAACAACTAAGGTACAGCACCGAGGTGGCTGATGCCTCAGGTGCTAAAAACCTAACCAGGGTAACAGCCAGCCAGTCGCCCGGTTTCTGGGACAGCGCTGGTCTGCAGCTGTTTATCGTCAGACCATGTGCTGTGAGCCAGCATCCCCGCCGGGACGGTGGGATCTGCGCACGAACTTCCTCATCTTCAAGGATCTGGGTAGATCGCGCCTTTCCGATGGCATACTCACCTCAAAGTCGACATGATCTGTGTGGCCTCTGTTCGTTATCACCGCACTCTGGTTTTGAGAGTTGAGACACACGCAGGTCAGCCAGACTCGAGACGGAGTCTCCCCTCGCTGCGCACGGGCCAACACACCGGGCCAGGGCGGTGGTGGCGGCAGTGGTGGCTTCACCGTGACTCTGACCTTCAATCCCAGACACTGACAGCTTTTAATTTTTGTCCCAGACGCGGCACATGAAACCCTTTCAGAATAACTAGCCACCTGGGGAGAATGAGGGCACTAACCCAGGTTAGAGGCTGGGCCGGGAGGCTTCCGGGAGGCAGGGAGGCAATGAGCCGTCCCTGGGGGGAAACGGGGTCACCCTTTGTGCAGCTGCTGTACCCCCGGTGAGCTTACATACTGACATTTGGTGCAAGTTTCCACTTGAAAAAGGTTCTGCTGCTCTTGAAAAGTTTGCAAACCACTGATCTACATGGTCTTCCAAGGTCTCTTCCAAGTGTTAAATTATGTTTTTGATTTTTAAAATTCTTTCATTCAACGAATATTTGGAATGTGCCTTATACTACGTGACAGGATTCTGCTAGGCATGGTGGTCACAAGAGAGGACAATACACTAATAAGAGAGACTCTGCCCTCAGGGGACTTAACTGCCCGGTTGGGTTGTATTTTTTTTTTTTTTTAATTGAAGAGTAACATAAATACGAAATCCAGACAGCCACCACAAATTTGTTTCATGTTTCTTCCAGCGTTAAAACCACAGGATTCCTGGAATTCAGCTGGGACAAGTTTCTTCCACGGACCCTGGTTCAAGTGTTCCTTGTCCTCCACCCAATACTCAGGAGACACAGGCTGAATAATGCAGACAAAACCGATTGTAAATTGAAAAATCAAACTGAATTTTATTAAAATATACATAAATAACCTTCATTTGTTTCTAAATTTCATGAGTTTGGGGAATTTAGGTGGAAATTAAATGAAAGGTTGTAGTACTAGCATAGAAAAATGAAGGCAGAAGGGAGTCAGCGAAACTGCCTTCCAGCCCAGGGCTGCCATGAAACAGCCCAAGAGAGGCATGCAGGGTCCTGTCCTCAGCTACAGGATGAGCTGGTGGAACATATGTTGTCTGGTGTCAATTGCAGCTCTAAAACTCTACTGTCCTGATTCTATTAGGAGTGAATGCTATGTATTAACTATATACAGCAGGCACTCAGTGTAAAGGAAAATACTCCAAACTCATAGGAACACTTTTAAGGAAGACAAGAGAAATACAGAAGTTTGCTGCTTAAAAAGTGCACTGATGTTACTGCTTTATTCACACTAATTAGAATACATACACAAAAAAATGTGTATTGTATGTTGCTTTAAAAAATTCTATGTTCCATGAGAACTATGTAAACAGTGTAAAATGTTTCTACTGCATAACAAAAGGAGAAAAATCAGCATTCCCATGTAGTATTAGGAAAATATTTAGGATAATTTGAAGTCACAGTAAAATGAAGTAAAATATTACAGAACAGTCATTTCATGAAGTACATTTATGATTGAGAAGCAATACATTTCATACTTTTAAATACTTTGGTATAAGTGAAATTGTTACAAAGCAAAAAAAAAAAACCAAAAACTAAAAAGACTCAAGTTTGGTTCTCACATTAATTGGAACTTCGGCAACGAGTCGACTGCACAGCTCCCTCAGACACCGGAAAGGAAAACCTCTCCTGTGCCCCTGTCCTGGCGGGGTGGACACGCCGGGAGGGCACCCCGGGCTGTCCCAGGGCGCCCCAGAGGACTTCTGTGCAGTCGGGAGCATGCGCTTCTTCCTCAAATATGTGCTCGGCAACCGCTTGAAAGGCTTCACGAAAACCTCAGATTCAACTTGGAACTTAAGCGATCTCGGTTCCTTTCTCGTAAATAAAAATGACCCCGCGTTAAAACAGCTCAGAACTACAATTCATATTTAAAGCAGAACATAAATTTTTTAAAAAGTCGTGTTCCTATAGTTTCTCGAGAAGTCCATACTTGAATAAAAGAACATACTACATTTTAAAAAATACAAATTTAACAGCCCACTGACAATAGGTTTTCAAGAAAAAGAAACAACCGTCTGCATGCTACAAAGATTTCTTCGTTGATATCACACTTTGACATCTGAAAAACTAAACTGATCTGAGGAATTTTTAGCTGCATCTTTTTTGATAATTACATTTTCTCATCTGTACTGTCCAAATGTGGTACTGATTGCTTTCACTGTTTGTTCTGTATGTTTTCTCTGAAATGAATCCCTACGTCTGAGAATTACATCTGAGCAACTGTCGATGCATCACTCTGCCGTCGTCCGTCACAGGAGCAAACTGGGAATGTCCTCTGAGGATTTTCTCAACAATGTAATTTATACTGCGACTTTCTGGAAAGACAAGAAAGTCTTTAAAAGAAAAAAAAAAATCCTTGGTGAACTTCACAAACTTACAGTAACAATATAATAATGCATCGTTGTTCCTTTCTGAAGCAAAAGAACACACTGCCAAACGCTACACTGTACTAAACGCACACTGTAAAGTGCCTCCGAAAAAGAAACCCTGTGAGCACAAGTCCTCAGACAGGCCGTCATCATAAGGGAAGGGACGAAAGGGCAGCAGGGAGCATTCTGTGAGATTAACCAGCATGGGAATCTTCATAACAAAACGAGTATGGAGCGTAAAAGAAAATATTGGTCAGGTTGATCTGAGGCTTTTTATAGAACAATTCTAAAAAGGATTAAATGAGATAAACATAAAAAATATTATTCAGCAAAATTGATCTATGCTTAAATAAACCATGTATAGAAGAATTCTTAATATTTTAAAATATTTTATAGCATGAGTACAATATTATAAACTTTTACCACCAAGTATAAGAAATAAAACAAGGAACAATAAACAAATTGTGAACTGAAAGGTCCTTAGTTTTTCATATTAGGGGATATATGAGGCACACCATTATTTTATGTAGCATGCTAAGAAAAGATGCCCAGGATAGGGTGTCTACAAGGAGAAAGAGACCCTCACAAAAAGCGGGGACACCAAAAAGCTACGGCCTCAATGACGAGTAAACAGAGATCCCTGGCCACAGAAGGGACAGCGAAGAAGTCTGCACACCTGTTCCCTGATGGTGGGAAGAGAAGAAGGAAAAAAAGTTCCTCGGTATTTGAACTGGTATACCCACCCGGTCCTGCCTGCAATTTTTTCTGGTTTGAATTCACAATACCAGCATAGCCCAAGAAAATCTCAGAGAAATTAGTTTAAGCAAACTCGGGTTGGCAGTGCCCCCCAGTGACTGGCCAAAGAAAATGCGAACCACCTCGGGAAGAGCTCAACTTTCACCCAGGCAAACAGCTGATTTTAAGACGCATTCCAAATTTAAACATGCTAAATTACGGAAAATATATAATTTGAAGTCAATGAAATATGGTAGACAGGTAAATAAGTCATAGAAGAGATGTCAGAAAACCTACAGAACAAATATCGGTATATGACAAAAAACATCAAACCAATGACAGGTTACCTTATTCGATAACTGCACAGGCAAAAAAGATTAACTATTTAAGAAAAAAGTTAAATCCTTCTCTAAACCGTATTCTTCTAAGTATAAAGTCAAATGAAAAATTAAACCATTTAAGAACTTTAAGAAATAAAAATACCCCAACATCCCACCCTACACCTCCAGAAAGATGAGCAAAGTCAATAGGCAGACAACTGGCAGAAGAAATATAAACAGCCAGTTAAATACACCAAAAAAGCTCAATTTCACTAGTAATAGAAATGTAAAATAAAACAATGATATAATAATTTCTGGCCATCAAATTGGTAAAATTTTTAAAAACAATAATACTGAGTGTTGGCAAGGGTGCAGAAAAATCAGCACATATATTGGTGGTAGATATGCAAATTAAGCCAACCTTCCTGAAATGTAATTTAGCAATTAAGTACAGAAGTAAAGCACTTTAAAATGTGCAATATTCTTAGATCTAACATGCTGCTTTTAGGAATTTAACTCAAGCGAACAGTCAGAAATGTACAAAAAGTATGTACAACTACATGTCAGAATTATTTATAATAGTTAAACGTTGGAAAATCACCTATACACTCAACAATGGTAAATAAATTAAGTATTTTAATAAACAGAACTATAAAATGGAATACAATGCAACTACTAAATATCATGTATCACTCAAGCACTGTTTATAGTAAAGGATTAGAATAACCTAAATATCTAACAGCAAGCAAGTCATTTAAAAACTCATGGTTTAACAGTCAATGGAACACTATACTATCATTAAAAAGAACGAGGCAGATCCTAGGTTCTCATACCATCTCCTCTCTGCCTGAAATGATCTTCTTCCCCCAGATATCCCTCTGGCACTTGCTCAAGTGACACTTTATCAGTGAGGGTGTCCTTTGCCATCTTACATACAATAGCAACTCACTCCCATCCCAAATGCACTCCCCCTCCCCCTGACCTACTGCTCTGTCTTAACCATCTGACACTGTTTATTCACGGTCTGCCCTCCCCAGAGGAAAGATCTGTGAACCCCAGTGCCTAGAACAGCAACTGGCACTTAATATGCGTTCCGCAAATACTAAACGGATGGGTGACGGATGGGTGACGGATGGGTGGATGGGCATGGAAAACCCAAAGATGCAAAGGTAATAACAGTTTGTCTCTTCCGCTATTATTTGTCTTTTAAGAAGGAAAAAATCACCTATGTGTGTGTGTAGCAGATACACGGAACTTGAAACGCTGGTTGCTTCTGGGCAGGGAAACTGAGGATGAGGCGCAGGAGAGAAATCCACTCCTGTCGTGTTTAAAAGGCGGACCAACTATATATACACGCATATATGGAACCCATTCAGACAAACTGATAGAAATTATAAATTCACAGCCACACATGTTGTAGGCTGATGGGGGAAAATCACACAATACATTGTTAAGTGGAAAAAAACAGGCTACAAAATAACAAATAAAATGAAATACTAGAAAAGTTCAGGGTTAACTTCTAACACTTTTAACTGACAAGATTACAGGGGATTTCTGCTGCTTCTTGCTCTTTTCTGTATTGCCTAGGGTTTCTGTACGAGGCACTATTACTTTATAATTTTTAGAAGGCTTTTTAAGCACACAGAGCATTTGCCTAGCCGAGCGTAACAGCACCCAGACTGGGTCCCCTGACGCGGCATTGCACCTCTGAGCCCTCGCGGTCCCCGCGTGGAACCCCCACCCATCCCCCGGGCACTTGTCAGGGTCCTCCTCTGACCTCCTCCTGTCACTGACCTCTCGCTTCATCCTCTCTCCATCACCTCCCTCAGCTCCCTTGTCTTTCTCTTCCTGTCCTATTTACCTGGCAAAACCCTAGTCCTAGTAAAACCAAACGTCTGACCCTCGCCCAAGCAGCGGCACATGGCCAGAGAGAAGTCAGGCTGCTGTGCTCACGGTGCTCACTCCAAATTTCTGGCCAGAATATCAAACAGGCGTCCGAGCCTGCAACAGAGCCCCACCCCACTTGGCTGGCAAATTCCCCTTCCCATCCTCTGGGACGAGTATCGTGCTCTTCTCCCCTCACAGCTCCCACAAGCCCTGGGCTCACTCGGGGACCTTACTCACACACTTCCGAGAGGAAGCCGATGTAACCAGAAAAGCTCCTCTTCCCACCACCAACTCCACCCACCCGTCTGTACCTGCGCCCACTCTGCCTTCCTCTGGTACCATGGAAGATGCATCCCCGCTCCTTTCCTAAGGCGCAATGCTTCACTTGGCCCTGGCCCCATCCCCCACTGCCTTTCCAAGTTTTTCCTTCGACAAGTACCCCCTCCTTTTGCTCTCCCATTATCAATTTCTCATTCAATACTGGATCACTGTGATTAGCAAACAAACACATCTTATTATAATAAAACGTCCCCGTCTTATTCCCGGTCCCCTTCACAGAAAAGCTCTTTCCTCCCTGACCCCTGATCTCTCCCCAGCCCACATTCCCTCTGCCATGACATAAACACAGCTCTGCTCAAGGTCACCAATGATGTGCTACGTCCTCTTCGAGCTAATGGCCAATTCTTGGTCCTCCTTTTTTTACTTGACCTCTCAGCAACAACCAGCATTTATCGTCAGCACCACCTAACATGACGGCTCTCTCCTTGAAGCAGTCTTCTCTCGGCCTACCTGAGATCACAAGCCCCTGGATTTTCTTTTTCCTCTCCGGCCCCCTCTCCACAGACCCCTCCTCTTTCCACCTTCCAGGCGATCTCGCCCAGGCTGTGGCTTCAAATGGCAGGTATATATGGATGACTCTAAAGCTGTCTTTAGCTGAGCTTCCTTCTGAACTTCAGACCAACATCATCGATGACTGACTTGATAAAGCAGAACTACTGAATCCCCATTCCCTCCATCCCCCCAAACCCCTGCTCCCTTCACAAGCCTTCCCAGGAAAAGGGCCGGCATCTACCCAGCTGCTCACATCAAAATCCCAAGAGTCGCCCTTACCCCTTCTTCCACTCACACCCCACGGTGACTCACTCATCTTCCTCCATTCTTCCCTTCGTGTACGACCCTCTGCTATACGGGGCTGCCTTCTGTCCCTCTACATGGCATACCCTTTCCCATTTCACGACCTATGCAGCTGCTCTTCTTTCTGCCTGACTGTTCTTCCCCTTACCTTCAGATGTCCACCTCCTTCTCATCGAATTTCAACCCAAATGTCATCAACTCAGCACAGCCTTCCCAGAAGCCACCCCAGTCCTGGTCACTCTCCACATATTCTTATCTTCTCCACAGAACGTATTGATAACTGAAATTTACTTACGGGTCAGAATACAGACTTACTGTCAACCTCCTCCCAGTGGGAGATACAGTAAGTTCTCGCTTAACATTCTTGGATAGGTTCTTAGAACTGAGGCAAAATGAAGTATAACAAAACCAGTTTTCCCACAGGCTAACTAACATAAAAAAGGAGTTAACTTACTACAGCATCTCATCGACGTTATAATGAAATGGTGATGAACAAAGCAACATCACTCGAGGACCTGCTGTGATGTCCTTGAAGGTAAAAAATGCACACTTGTTCACCACGTATCCCCAGCATGAAAACTGGTGTCTGGCACTCAGTAGGTACTCAATAAATATTTGTCGACCAACTGAATGACTGTTTTATAACTGAAAATTTAGACTGTGGTAGCTTTTGACATTATAATCAGTTCATTTTAACACTGGAATATCAGAAATGGTAAGAACTGATAAAACTGTTTCAAGAGTCTGATTATAAAATGGCTTTTTAGACCTCTTACCCACTCTATTACATATTCCTTTTAATATATATTAAGAAGTGATCTAAATGGCTATGAACGGGAAACTGGCTAATTAAGGTGGGATACAGCCACATGATGGATTACTATGTAACTATTAGAGAATGAAAAAGATTCATACAAGCAAATATGGAAAACTGTGCTAGCAATATGGCTGACAGAAAACATCAAATTACAGAACAATATATTCAATGAGGTGCCTTTGTTTTAAAGTATACACATATTTGATTGGATATGCACAGGCACATTTGTCCAAGAAAATCCTACTAAAAGTGGTTACTTCTCCAAAATAAAGCAGAGACTGAACTTACCATTTATTATTAGAAAAATGAGAAAGTACCAGGAACTACTTTTGATTTCAGCAATTTAGAGCTCACCACTTTGTGTTTTACTCTTTCAAAGGCTTTAACATTTCTAACTTTTTAAAAAACACATTACCGATTTTTTAAAGTGATGCATACTCTAGTAAGGAAAAACAGGTAGGTGTCAGGTGTCACCGGACAGTCAGGAATAGAGTGTGGCCGACTTGCAGGCCGGCTCGTCCATCATATGTTAATGCCCTTCTCTATTCTTTCCCTCTATAAAGCCTGGAAATGCTTACAACATCACTTCTGCAATCTTTCATGTAGTTTGGGGTTGGGGGGAGACATGCGACACAGGCTTAGTCAAGAGGTATGAGTACATTTTTGGACATGATTCTGCTCTCCTAATTAAAAGGGACAGATATAACCAGTACTGTCTTTTGCCCTTATTCATGCCATGAACGTATATATGATGTCTGGAATTATGGGAGCCACCCTATAATTATGTCGCAGCAAGAGCCAACACACAGGTGAGAGGATGAAAACAACCTGGGGATCTGGTGGCATCATTCGGAAAATGAACCCGTCCTGTTACCTCAGAAAAATTAACCTGTTTGTTTAACGTATTGTGCCTTGGGTTCTGTTAACCACAACCAAAGAAATTCCCAGCTGATGTTCCGGGGAATCTATTTTAAAAAGAAACTAAAACTAAAAGAATTCAAATTCTATGCAGAATTAGAAGATTCCCCACCTTAGCTGTCTCTATTCTGAACTTTTAATAAAGAAAAAAAGGGTATTTCCTCTGGGTAGAGGAAGAAGAAAAAAGTGAAAATTATAGTTAACATCGACTTTATAAAAAAGACTTTAAAATAAAACATTCAGAATTCGTACACACGATAAAGATAAACTCACAGAGAAACTGAAGTCCAATCAATGCTGGGGCTGTTCTGGACTAACGTTCATTGTTCGATAAATCTCTTTAAGTAATAACAAGGCAGTATCTTCAGATTCCCTATCCAAAAAAAAAAGCACATTTACTTAAGAGACAATTAGTAGAAATTAATCTCTATGCATAAAGGTAGAAAATGCAGCTTTTGCTCTATTCAACTCTATTTAAAAAGGGCAAATGAAACTAAAGCAGTGTCATCTCGAAGCTGTCCTTAAAAACTGGATAGATACCGCTTAGCTCCAAAACAGCCTTGCTGCAGTCCTCCCTGGCAAGAGCGGATACATGAGAAGATGGCTTTTCTAAGTCCCCAGCACTCCCATTTTGGGAAAGGCATCGCTACAGAAACAGTGTGTAACTACCAAACGCCTTTGGTCAAAGGCAGATGACATACTGCCATCTTGTGGGTAACTAACGGGGGGGGTGGAGGGGATACTGATTTTTAATTTACAGGCATTCAAATTAATATTCCGTAACGAATGATAAATCAGCAAAAAGAGTCTCACTAAAACTAAAACTGCAGCCTGTGCTAACACCTGAAGGCCGCAGAATGTTGTCAAAGATGAAAATACTCACCAATAGCATAAATGACTCTGAAGAGCGAAAAGGTATTCATTAAAACTCTCTATCGGCTTTTCTTGAAGAACGTAGTCAATTCGACGACCTCCGTTTAGCATTCCAACCTTTCCTAAGTAGTCCTCATCCTTGGAAAAATCTGGACTTTCAACAATCTTTTCTGCTAGAATTTAAACCATTTCAATATCAAAGTCAATCACTTAATCATTATCCTTCTGACTTTAGCTGACTTTCTGGGCTCAATGAGAATATCGCTGGACACACGTAGCAACCTGGGGAGCTACCAGGCTCACTTCCCATTCCTTCAAAGAGCCAGGGGAAGAGGGGCTGGTCACCCCAGAGAGAGGAGAAAGAGCCAACGAGCTGATAGAAGTTTTGAAGAAAAGGAGTGAGAGAGCATTGTAGAAAGAGAGGAAATAGAATTAGAATCTGAAAAAGTCAAAAAACATCATGGCACAATGACCTGACATTGCATTAAAGTCTATAACAACACAGTTAACAACAGCAGGAAGCAATTTCTCAGAGTGAGTCTTTCAAATGCCTGAATACAAACTTGATTCTCAACTCTGATATTCCACTCTGACAAGAAAATCTCGATAACATTTCAACCTTGCAGAGTAAAACCTTCAGCAACTACCAGACAAAAACCTAGTGAAAAAAGATAACATGCATATTGACGTATTGTTTATCATAAAAGATTTTCCTTTATAGGAAGAGCCTCCACATTTTAACAAAAAAGACTAGAATGGAAAACATCATTAAATAACTCATAAGTGCTAATGTTCACGTAACATTTGTACTGGAAAACGCCTCAAATGTCAAATTTACCTTCAACTACTTGCTTTTCTTCTTCTTCTTTGATTTGATTGGCTACCTTCTCCAATTCTTCTTGCAATTGAGTTGAAGAGGTATGAGCACGGGCAAACTCATTTAATGTCTGCCAAGCACTTTTCAGAGAGCTAATAAAACCCTGCTTCAAATCAGATCCCATGCGCGAGAGACTTTCTTTCAACTCTAAAGAGATTGAGACAGCACATCATGTTATTAGTCACTGGGTGAGCTTCTGCACCACAAACACTGAAAGTTAACGCCATTCTCAGGCAGGGCAAGACCTCTCAGCCTTCTCTTAGCTGTTATATATATGGAGTATCTCAACCCAAAACCTTCGATATGTTAAAATGTTCTGAGGAGTCTTGTTCCTGTTTTTTGTTTTTTTTTTTTGTAATAACTAAACTTGATCTAGCCAAAATCTATAAATTTCCTCTCTCCAAAAAAAATGGGAGTTCAAATATCATAAAAATGGAAGCACCTTCATGTGCTTTTTCTTATTGTAAAAGAGTGGCCCCACAAAATTAAAACAAAAAAAAACATAAATATGAGGGCACACTCATTTTTCCTCCTTTTAAACCTTTGGATAAGTAATATACGTCATTAACAGACATAAGAGCAACTTCAACCCCACTTGGAATTATCATTGATCCATGTGTTTAATAGTTTTTTTTAAAATAGGAAAAGCTTGTCTATTTAGCAAGGAAATAGAGCTTGCTTGAGGCAGATAGCACCAAATTTATTTCTTGATGGTTTGGTCACTGGTTCAAATGTTATTCTGCTTCCCAATTACAAAAATCATAACCAAACTCTATCAAAATCTACGCATCATGTCACTTTACTACCATCTTCTCCCCACTCCTAATTAGCTCAAAAATTAGAATGTTATCAAGGAGAAGGAACTCATTCTCAATTTTCTTTACAGTTCCTCCAAATATTTAGTAAACAAGTTCTGAACATAGTAGGCACTTAAATAACATTAATTCTGTAAAAAAGGATTTACTGTTAAAATTTCTGTAATTCATTACAAATGACAGCAAAAATATAAAAAATACAAAAAGGGAGGAAGGAAACAAGTTTTTATAATATTTTCTTTTTACCTAAATGAAGTCTTTTTCTGCCTTTGTGATGTGGAATGAGAACTGCTTTTAGATCCAAATCTGGAACAATCATAGGTTCCAATCTATATGCCACTGGATCAAGCTGTGAATAGAAGAATTGGAAATTTATAAAAAGATGTTTTATTTTGAGTTATACACCTTAGTTGGGTGAGAAAACGAATAACTGGAAAACCAGATATTTTGACTTTTTCCACACCTATTCAAATACTGGAAATTATAAGAAGACTTTCAAGTCTGGGTAAAATTACTTTGCAAGCAAAGCAACAGAATCATTTCCTTCAACCAAGGCTTTCTGGTAGAAAAGTTTATTGGAAAGTATCAGATTGTATCTATCAGGAAAGAGAGCTGAGCTGTACAAAATCCAGATCAATATTAATTCCTAAGAAATAAGAATCTGAGAATTTATTAGGATAAAGAGTACAAGTTTTTCATCTTCTTCAAAATAGGAAGTTAATTCAGTTCACTCACTGGATGATAAATATTGAAGAATCCCTTACAGGTAGGAAGCCTGTAATTCTCATCTATCCGATCCACTCCTCGAATAGTGAGAAACATACCAATTGGAGATCCCAATGCAAAGAAAATCTCTGGTTCAAAATCTAATGAGCTGTAAACAACGGAAACCTACAAAAAATAAAAATAAATTAAAAATGATTGTTCCAATGTCACATAATACAAAATTCAAAAGCTTCAAAAGTTCCTGGAATTGCACTAATTAAAAGCATCCCACACAATGTCCCTCAAAGTGTGGCTTATGGTACTTACAACCACTGTCACAGACAGCTATTGCTAGCGTAAAAGGGCTAAAAAATTTCTCTTTAAAATCTTTATAGATTATTATATCTTCTGGTTATACTTCTACTTATTATATAGCATAATCTATATGGCATATGGTAAATATTGCACTTATTGGTTATAACAGTGGTTAAAACTGTGACTCTAGAATCAAATTGCCTGGGTTTGAATCCTGGCTCCACTCTAAGCAGCTAATGGTGGTTAGTTCTTTTTCTGCTTAATCAGTATTTCTTGGCTTCTGGCAATGAAAGATGCACACTGCTTCTATTGTTTGAACTGCCCGAAAACCGTTTGGGTAACAGATCCCACCTGCCCTCTAGGCCCACCCACCGTGGAGGGGGCATGTGATCTGGGCTGGATCAGTCAACCTGCATCTCATTCCCCAGGCAACAAGAATTGGTCCCAAATGAACTTCTGACTTAAACCAAGTCAAGTAAAATCTCTTCTTGAAATTTTCCTAAGTGGACCTATTAGGGGGACAGATTCCTTTTCCTCTGTGGTCATAAAGCTGTAAGAGGAACCCACAGCCACCAACACCCCATGACTCCAGTTTCATGGAGAAGGCCAACTCACGGAGAGAGGCACGTAGGTAAAGCATCCTGTTGGCACGGAGCCTCATTTCCACAAATTTCCTACACTCTAATCCTTCACAGTTAGGTAAGGAAATATCTGCCCTTTATTTGCTAGTGTCTGTTCAAGTTTGATCATGTTTTCAAAAAAGAGACATTTAAAAGATGCAATCTTTATGAATGAACTGGGCCTAAAAGCTTGAGCAAGCTACGGCAAACATCTAGTTCCATTACCTGCCTTATTTAAATCAGTCATGAACTCACTTGTGACAATGGAGCCTTATATACACAACTGTAAATGTACTGAAAATGACGTCTAAAAAGATTTTTAATACTTCTAAGCAGCTGAGAAACAATTATTAAGCTACATTATTAAATATAGCATTATCAACTACTTTGGTGGATTTTTATAGAAATTTTTCCCCAAGGGAAGAACTGTGAGTACTAGAAACATATGAGTTGGCCGAAGGCAGCAAGTTTCTCTCATAGAAACTTAAGTATATTCTGAACACAATTTTCTCTATCACCACTTCTGTTGCCAGTGGTAATGAGAGCCGAATGCTATAAAATTGAGTGGTGGAAAACTGAAATCAAGACAATTTTGAAAATCAGATGATACGTCCAGTACATGTTCAATCCTTTATTTTAATTATAAAAGCATACATTTTTTTTTTATCAAACCAGTGTTATCTACCATCACCCCCAATAAATGCTGAATAAATATTTAAAGAATTTAAAGCCAACCCAAATAATAAAGATATGTTACTCCAGCATAAAACACGCAGCCCTGGTCACCAGGCAAACGTACCTGTCCGGTGCCGACTGCGAAGGACTCATAGTCGACACGCACCGAAGAAACGCGAGCCCCCACCGGGGGCCTCCTCTTGGTCTCGTTAGACTCCAAGGGGAGAGAAGCCACTTCCTTAGCTTTCTGCGCGCTCTCCTCTGGTCCTTTCGTCGAAGCCGCCATCACTGCCTTCTTTTCTGATGCTGCTTTTTTCTGTTCCTGTGAAATACCAAAATTTCATAAGATAACCTGAGGAAAAAAAGTTCAGTTATCAGCTACCACTACGAAACATGCTATCTCAATATTGAGGAATGTTTAATAATTTCTTAGGCACAATGATGACACCATAGTTATCAGAGAAATGTCCTTTTTAGAAACACGTACTAAATATTTAGGGAAGAAATGTCATGATATCTGTAATTTACTTTAGAATTCTTACGATAAAAAGGTTAAGAGGCAACGAACAAATACAGTCGGGCTACAATTAAATCTAAATATTGGCTATCATTATGCCATCTGTACTATTTTTCTACATAATTTAAAATTGTAATATTAAAAAGTAAAAGATGCCAATTTCATCCTTTAAGATCTCAACTTTAGACAGACAGTTTAGAAGTACTATATAATTTTAAAATACACACATGTTTATACCCATTATGATTGCATGGAGCCACTGACAAGTTTTCCTCAAAAGCATTTTGGGAAGGATTGATATGCACATTATGGCAGATTCATACAATGGAATAACTACTCAGAAATAAAAAGGAATGAACTGCAAATGATATAATTTGGTGAATCTCAAAAACATTTCTTTGAGTAAAAGAAGCCAGATACGAAAGAGTACACAGTGTTCATTCCATTTTTATGAACTTCTACAACAGGCAAAATTTCAACAGTGATAGAAATCAGAAAAGAGGTTGTATGGCGGGAGGAGCAGACTGGAAAGAGGCGACGGAACCACCTGAGTGGCTTTTATTTCCTGTTTTGGTGGTGAATACATCTAAACAAAAGTAAGTTTTGACAATTACAAAAAGTTGTCAAAACTGCTCCGAACACTTAAGATCTATGCATTTCATAAATAAGTCAGGAAAAGCTTTGGGAGCATCCACAGAACAGGACATCTCTGTAAAAACATGAAACCCACTCACATTAGTTTGTGACCACACCCTGATACAGCCAAATGTCAGGGGATGTGAACAGCTGTCATGGGTGGAGCTGTCCACTTCCCACAAGCAAGTGTTCCAAGTGACCCTCGTTCCCCAGGCTTGAATGACTGCGTAAGTCCAGTTTAAACAGCTATTGACAGTGCCTAGACAAAGCAGCTGGCCAAATCGGTCTTTCCTATTAATGAATTCCAAATACTAGGAAATCAGGAAGCAAGTCTAATCAGTTAGTTCATTTAACAGGCAGTATAGAAAAAAAAGAAACTCTCTGCCAGCCAGCGTGGAACTGACTCCACCCTTGACATTCGGGAAGGTTTGGTTACCTCTGCTCTTTGGGGGCAGCACAAGATTAAACCTAAACTCAAAAATGAAGAACATGTTCGGAACTCTTCAGTGTAAATGTGCTTTCTCACTCAGAAGTACGTTCTGTTATATTCAGAGAACTTAACATATGAAACTGCTGAGAGCTATCTATATAGAACATAAAGTGTTCTATTGCAAACTGTTTTGTTTCCCCTAGACACGTGCGGTAATTTTAAAACAAAGTGAACCAACATACACGTACTTGACTATCAATATTCCCAACACTAAAAACTATTCCTTTTCAAATGAAAATCACCAAGATGGTTTAGAAAAGGGGGAGGGGGCAGCTCTCAGACAACAAATACTTGATCTCATCATTACAAAATAATTGGCTAATTTTGGTCCCATTATGTCAGTTACATTAAATCAATAGGACACACCATATTATCTTATTATTGATCTGGCAGTACCTCGTTATCTGTGAAAAATGTAGAGCGATCAATGGTAACACGGCTGAGAAAATGTCATAGTTCACTCAGAGGCAATTACTTTTGAATTTCAAAAATAAGATCACTTTATAGATTTTCACTCCTTTCAAAATATTCTTATAATGCCATAATTTATAATCCAAGCAACAACAGTACAGAAACCAGGCTTCTTCCAGAAAATTTTCAAGAACAATACTTTTCTAGATTTTTTTTTTCCTTTTATTGCAGAATAAAATCAAGGACATGATGCAGGGCCTGAAAACACAGCTTCTCGTTTCTCTTTTTTGGTTTTTACAGGCCTGTGCTTCACTGGTGTGCATATGGAGACAAACGTGCTTGCACGTGGAGTACGCACACTTGTGTCCTGGTTTCAGTTTGACTACCACGCTCATGAGCGTGTAACACCTCACGGAGTTGCCGTGAGGCTCAAGGGAGATGAAGCGCTCTTGTAAACTGCAATTATATGATTCAATACACAGGAAAAATGAGATGAAACTTAACCGCCAAAACTAGTAACCTCTTTCACAACTCTTAACCTCCATCATCCCTTCATCACGCCAATCGACTCTCAAAAACACCGCTCCGCGTCTAAAATGCCTTTGAGTTTCACCCTTCTTTTCAATTTCCTCTTATTCCCCATCTTCTCTTGCGGAGTCACTGCCGCCTACTTCAGGCCCTTCCACCTCCACACCGTCACCCAGTGAGCTCCCGAGAACGCAGACTCCATCACAGACCTGCCCCTGCGGCCCTGCCGCCCCACAGCGGTGGCTCGCCAACAACGTCCCTTTATAAACCGAACCAGGCAGTCACTACCGCCACAACGAAACTGCGGCCCATCCACACACTAAGTAAATGGTTTTAATTTAAAAAAATCAAGTTGATAACAGATAAGATTTGCTCCAATTATTTCTTTTCCTTTTGGTACTCCACTGAGCCAGCAGGCCCTAGCCAATAGCAAAAGAAAGTAAATGTTAATGGAAAAACCAGGAAAGAGCCAGTATGTTCAAAAGTTCATTTATCTATGGCCATGCCACCCTAAACATGCCCGATCCCGTCTGATCTCGGAAGCTGAGCAGGGTCGGGCCTGGTTAGTACTTGGATGGGAGACCACCTAAGACTAGATGCAGTAGGCATTTAAAAAAAAAAAAAATTCATTTATTATAGACATATCTGCTCATGGTCAAAAGTGTATAATATGGTTTATAAAATGTATCTTTAAATTTTTAAATTTCTAAAGTTAAAACTTTAAACAGATGATTTACTGCTAAATCATACTTTGTGACAGAATTAAAATGGTCAGCATTTCATGATGTTTAAAAGCACCATGACTTTCATGGCCATGAGATGTCTGAGAGTCACTCCCTTACAAGAGAAAATGCAAACTTCCACAGCTGCCACGTGGGCCTTCAGGACCTCTGCCCTGCCATACTCTCAGCTCACCTGCTGGTCCAGCTGCAAAACATGCGCCCACGCGGGAAGGCCACTTCCCCTGACCCTGTCCCCGCGGGACGTCTTCTCTTACCAGCCCCAACCCCTTCTCCCCAGGCCAGACTGCCACCCTCATCAGGCGCTGACAGAGTGGACAGCACTCTGTTATAAGACTCATGTTTCACCACCTGTGGTCGAATCTCTCCCTCTAACTAGACACAAAACCCTCAGTTCATCTCCAAATCCTAAGAATTGAGCACAGTGCCTCACCGAAAAGATACATTTATAAAATGTCGAATAACTCCATTGCTTAAGCTAATCGCAACACTCAGATCTACGACTATAGTCAAACTGTGTATAAAGAAATCGGCTGGTTAAGTTCCAA